AATTACAAATTATTTGCGGGCCTTAGAAAAGGAATTTGAAGTTGAGGAGAATGAGCTGGAAGAGGGACTCTCGGTTTCCCAATGAAAGTTGTTTCATGGAATGTCAGGGGTCTGGGTGCTACCCCCAAACGAGCTCACGTTAAGTCCTTTTTAGTTAGATCTAATCCGGATGTGGTTATCCTGCAGGAAACCAAACTTCAGAACATAGACAGAAGGCTGGTGAAGTCCATTTGGAGCTCCAAACATATTGGTTGGGTTGAGTTGGAGGCGGTGGGCTCTTCGGGTGCCGTAGTTATTATGTGGAACCAGAACTCAGTGCTGGTGGAGGACACAGTGGTAGGTCTTTTTTCGGTCTCTGTTTTATTTAGCTACAAAGACAACCTCAGCGGTTGGATCACAGGCGTTTACGGCCCAGCAAGGCACAGGGGTAGAGAGGCTTTCTGGCAAGAGCTTTATGATCTCAACAGCCTTTGTGGAGTTTGTTGGTGTGTAGGGAGGGACTTTAATGTAGTCAGAAGAATTGAAGAGAAGTCTAACGGGGGCAAGGTAACTAGAAGCATGAAGCTTTTCAATACTCTGATTGATGATTTAAGTCTCTTCGATGTTCCTATGAAGAATGGGGCCTTCACTTGGTCCGACTTTAGAGAAAGACCTTCGGCCACCTGCATTGATAGGTTCCTTCTTTCCAAAGGATGGGTGGAGGCCTTTAGAGAGATTGAGCTTGTCCGTCTCGCGCGAACTACTTCAGATCACTTTCCTCTTCAGTTGAATCTCGGTAATCATAAATGGGGTCCAGCTCCTTTTCGTTTCGAAAACATGTGGTTAGATCATCCGTCCTTTAAGGCGAGTGTAGAGTTAGGGTGGAATGCTCTGCCCTCTGAGGGCTGGCCGGGCTTTGTTTTTATGTCCAAGCTCCTTTTCGTTTCGAAAACATGTGGTTAGATCATCCGTCCTTTAAGGCGAGTGTAGAGTTATGGTGGAATGCTCTGCCCTCTGAGGGCGGGCCAGGCTTTGTTTTTATGTCCAAACTAAAAGGCCTCAAATGTATGTTAAGATCTTGGAACAAAGAAACCTTCGGGGTAGTCGAAAACTTGTTGAAAAAGTGTGAGGAAAGACTGGAAGCTATTGATAAGATTGAGGAGGCAGGTCACCTTTCCGAAGAAGAAAGGAAAGAGAGAATAGATATCAAAAAGTCTTACTTGGACTTAACAATTAGAGAGCAAAGGAAGTGGGTATAGAAATGCAAGCTACAATGGATTAAAGAGGGGGATGAAAACTCAAACTTCTTCCACAGATGGGCTTCGGCTAGGAAATCCACAACGCTTATCTCAATGCTAGAGAAAGAAAATGGAGAGTTACTAACCTCTGAGGAGGAGATTGTGAATGAAATAATTGGCTTTTATGAGAATTTATATGGTGAGCCGAAGGTCACACGCTTTCTGATTGAAGGGGTGCAATGGGACAAGCTGGAGGACTATTGGAGAGAATGGCTTGAACGTCCTTTTGAGATGGAAGAGATCCAAAAAGCTGTTTTCAGTCTAGGTAATTTAAAGTCCCCGGGCCCCGATGGTTTTACAAATGAATTCTTTGGAACATTCTCAAACATGATATGTTAGGAGAGTTCCAAGACTTTTTCAGAACTGGCATTATTAATCGTAGCACTAATGAAACTTACATTTGCTTGATTCCGAAGAAGTCTAAGGCAATGAAGATGGGGGAATTTAGACCGATCAGCCTTGTTACATCTTTGTACAAGATTATTTCGGAAGTGCTAGCTGACAGACTTAAAAAAGTGCTGCCCTCAGTTATAAGTAAGGCCCAATCAGCGTTTGTGGAGGGGAGACAGATCATTGACGCTATTTTGATAGCTTCTGAAGCTGTTAGAGACTTGGAAGCAAGGAAAGAGTCTGGCTTTATTCTAAAGTTGGATTATGAAAAAGCTTATGATAAAGTTGATTGGACTTACCTCGATTTGGTGCTAGAGCAAAAAGGCTTCGGGAACAGATGGAGGGGTTGGATGAAAGGGTGTCTGCACTCAATAAATTTCTCCATCCTTATCAATGGTGGACCTAGAGGTAAGATTATGGCTAAGAGAGGCCTTCGTCAAGGATACCCGTTGTCTCCCTTTCTGTTTACTTTGATGGGTGATTCCTTCAGCTGTCTAGTTCATTATTGGGTCTAGTTCATTATTGCAGCCAACGAAGGATTCTTAGAGGCTTTGAGGTAAGCCGCCAGAAAGTGGAGATTTCCCATTTACAGTATGCTGATGACACAATTATTGACTCTTTCTAAAGGGGGTCGATTAACGCTGGCTCAATCGGTCATTACTAGCCTCCCCTTATATTTCTTTTCTATTCTAAAAGCTCCTGTGGGGGTTATAAAAGACCTTGAGCAGTTGACTAGGAACTTCTTTTGGAATGGCAGAGTTTCGAAAGGCTCGTGTAACCATCTAGTTAATTGGGGTAAGACGGGATTCCCCATGCTTTATGGTGGTCTTGGAATAGGACCTCTTCAGCAAAAGAACAACAGTTTGCTTTTAAAATGGTTATAGAGGTTCACTCAAGAGCCTGAAGCTTTATGGAGAAAGGTTATAGTGAGCATCTATGGGGAGGAGGCTCATGGTTGGGCCACTCTTCCTCACAAAGGTAGAGCGAAAGGGAGACCGTGGTTCGATATAATGAAGAATTGTAGTTTTTTCTCTAAGTTCTTGGAGTTCAAAGCGAGAAAAGGGAATTGTATCAAGTTCTGGAAAGACAAGTGGATAGGACAAAACACCCTCCAAAGCTCCTTTCCCAACTTGTTTAATATCTCTACAAAAAAGCGGGTTTCTATTGCCGATTGCTGGAATAATTCTGAGAACGATTGGGATCTTGGCTTCAGAAGAGGCCTCTTTGACTGGGAAATAGAAAGTTGGATGGGTCTRATCYAWGCCATCGACACAGTGYGCCTAGGGGAAGGGGAAGACCGGGTTGGCTGGTCTATTGGCAATGGTGGAAAGTTTTCTACTAGGTCTGCTTGTATGAAGATGGTGGAATGTACTCCCCCTTTGAAATCTTCTCTCATTCAAGCTATTTGGATGTTTGCCTCTCCAAGAAAGGTCAAGGTGTTCCTGTGGTCCTTAGCACACAGAAGCTTGAACACTCATGAGAAGCTTCAAAAGAAATGCAGCAATTGGGTGCTCTCCCCCTCTATTTGTTGTTTATGTATGGCCAACACTGAATCAATAGATCATTTCTTCATTCACTGTACGTTTGCGGCTCGAGGGTGGCTCTTTATCATGGATCTCTTCAGGTTGTCTTTTTGTTTCCCTAATCATATAGATGCTTGGTTGGCCGAGCCCCGAGACCCTGCATGGCTGGACTCTGCCTAAAAAAGCTAAGTTTTTGTGTAAATGTGCTTCGAGAGCTCTCCTTTGGCACCTTTGGTTGGAAAGGAATCTTCGGGTCTTCAAAGACGAGTCTTCTTCTTTTGAGATTTTTTTGTAGAAAAGTACAGCACACTGCCTCTTGGTGGTGCATCAACTATAGCAAATTCTTTTACAACTACGACCTTTCCATGCTTATGTACAATTGGAAAGCGGTTGTTTAGTTCTTTTTGGTGGGGTTTCCTCCACCCCAGCCCTTAGGTTGTTCCTTTTGTCTTACTTTCGGAATATACAAGTTTCTTATCTAAAAAAAAATTGGAGGGGAAAGTGATTTGAAGTAATTCTAGCCTGCCTATACAGCGTAACCTCTTTGAAGTAATTTATCCATCTAGAAGACAAAAAGAACTTGTCTATACGAGTACTGATTGGATTATCCCTAAGGTCTGACCAAGTAAAAGCACCGTTTTTCAACGGGATATCTTCAACCTCCATAATGTCTTAATTTGGTTGAAAGTCCGCATACTGCGAGTTTCCAAAAGGGATCTGACCACATTGAAATCCCCCCTATACACCACTCTTCCGAGCAGAGACCTGCCAAATCAACTAATTCTTGCCAGAAACTCTCTGTTTTTGTAAGATGAAGAGCCATACACCCCTGTCACCCAGTCGGAAAAGCCATTAATATATCTAATGCGAATAGTAACCGAAAAACTCCCTAGGAAAGAATCTTCTACTTCTATCGCATCCTCATTCCACCTTAACAGAATGCCTCCCGAGGATCCTTCAGCATCGAGAGCCGCCCAACCGATTCTTCGAGAGCTCCACACATTCTTGACGACCTTTCTATCAATAAAAAACAGAAGATAGTATTTAAGATGTTAAGGTTGGCCTGTTTGATGGTAACATTTACCTCCTCTCGTCATTAACAAAAAACTTCAAGGCATCTTTTCTGGAAACACACAATACAATTAATTTTTCGATAAAAGTCCCATGGACATCCACCCACCTTACATGCATTGGAAAAAATCAAAAAAATGCAGAAAATATTTAATAATCTAGCTAGTTCTCACTAGTACTTGAACCTGTAATCTAAAAGTGTATCTAGGCTTCCCTACATCACTCTTTCCCCTACCGGCTGCCATCTCTGTTTTAAGGAAGCTGAAACACAAGGTCGTCTTTTTTGGAACAGGGTCCCAATTGAGGGAGAAATTCTTTGGGTTCAGCTGATCGTGGCTTTTCTTTGGAGCTTATGGATGAAAAGGAAGAATAGGATTTTAAACAACACTCCTCTCCCTTTTAATGTTTTTTTATAGAGTTATTGTATTAGCCTTTGGCTGGTGTAAATGCTTTTATTCTCCTTTTACAAGCTACAATCACAATGATCTCGTTTCTAGCTGGAAGGCTATTTTGTAATCCAGCCTTTAAGATCATTTTGTATATTTCATATCATCAATAGAGTATCTAATTTAGAGCTTACACTTGTGTCGATCTATCTAATTAACACAAAATAAAATGTTAGAACAACTTTAAAATCTATAAATGAACTAATATGGTATTATCCTAAGAAATCAAATGTACTAATACCATAAATTTAAGAGAAATACATAAAGAGGCACAAATTGCAAATGATTTTCACCTTTATATTTATACTGTCGTTGACAATAAACTTTTGCTCCATTAGGACGACTTCTTCCATGTACTTTCGTAAACGACCTTCAACCATTTTCTCTATGGCCATTTGAGGTTTTCCGGATGTTTCCGCCTGATATATGAACCATTTACATAAATATTGCATTAAACTACTGTCACAAATGATATGATAACTAAAATAAGAGATCAAATACGACAAACAAATCAACTTCACAATTCATCCAGAAAAATAAAAAACAAAATCTGTATCACTAACGCTGGTGAAGAATGAAACATACATGTGCTCTATAGTTTATAAAATAAAACCCTAATCACTGGAGGATTTTGAGACAAATATGCGACTCTACATGGACATGGTGATGGGTCAACTAGACAAAGACACATTTATCACAATATAATTTCTTAAGAATATATAATTTTGTATTCCAGGGATGATTCCCAGTAGTCTCCTTTGGAAAGTTATTACATGTTTATTTTAAATTTAATGTTGGTAAGTGGAAAATTATCATATACTTTTTAACTACATTTATGCAAAATTGACCAACATTAATACCTTGCTATCCTCAGACAGTAAAACTATTACAACTCCCTTCACCACTCCGTAGCATCTGCCCGTGGTCCATGGAAATCTATCCTCAGACAACAAACTATTGTCATGGACAAAAGCTACTTTAAGGTAGGTGATGGAACACAAACTTCTGGCTAGAGCATGTGCCTTTGTGTGCTGCTTCCCCCCTTCTCTTTGTCTTAAACTCCAACAAAGGTCTTATGGTCAACGGCAACAAACTCTTGGGATCTTAGATTTAGACGGAACCTCAAAGATGCAGAAATAAATGAGCGCTTCAACACAGTTTGACTATAGTCTACCATCCATCTCAACCAGGACAGTGACAGAATTTTTTGAAGATTGGAACCATCGGGGTTTTTCACAACCAGTTCTCTCCTCTAAGACATGTTAAATCCCACACCCTCTGCCAACGATGCTTTACTTTATAAGTCAATTTGGAAAGATCACTACCCAAAGAAGATTAAATTTTCTTATGGGAGGTTAGCTTGTTTGCACTAAATACTCTCAATAAGCTACAAAAGAGGATGCCACTTATGCGCCTTTCTCCACATTGGTGGGTTCTCTATAAGCAGCATGGTGAATCTTTGGGGCATGTCTTCGTTTCTTGCAACTTCTCATCCAAGCTCTGGGATTCTCTCTTATCATTCTTTGGATGGCCTATGGTTCTACTGACAGACTTACACTCCCTCTTATCCTCCACTCTCACAGGACACCCTTTTACTAATGAAGCTAAAATCCTTTGGATGCATTTTGTTCGGACCATGCTTTGGTCTATTTGGTTGGAAAGAAATCGCAGGATCTCCAATGAAAAGCACTATCAATCATCAGTCTTTTCGAATCTATATTGTCATTGGTGTATCTTGGTGCAAATATTCTCCTATCTTTCAAAACTATAGTTTTATATCTCTTTTAACCAATTGGAGAGCTTTTTCGTAACTCCTTTGGTTTGGGATTTTTTCTCCTTTTGTATATCTTTCTCATTTCATTACATTAATGAAATCATTTCTCTTCAAAAAATAATAATAATAATAACAACAAATTAAAAACCCTTAATACCTTGACATGACCCAGATGATCTTATTGTTTAGACCAGCTCCAGGGAAAAAAGAATTACATTTATGCAAAAGTAAGTAGTCAATTGAGTTCGATGAGAGGAGTGACCCAGATAACCTTAATACCTTGGAATGACCCAGATGATCTTATTGTCTAAAAACAGGCCCGTGTTAATAAAAATTAGGGTTCTATTCGCATTCTAGCTGCACACCCACACACACTTGGATTTCAATCACTTTTTTCCCAAATGACCTCATCCCCCAGATGATAGATCAGGTTTACTGCTAACTGAAGCCTAGTGAGTTTGAAGACTTTTTCATGTGTGTGCACAATTGGAGTGTTAACTAATTCAATTTTTAAGCAACAATAGATCAGCAAACTAATCCAAATAAAAATTTTAGAAAATATCAATTTTAACCTGAACTATTCAAGTTGTATAAATTTTTACCCTACTTTCAATTTCATCAAATTATACCTTAAACTAGGATAAGTGTAGCAAACTTTAAAAAACTTTGCAAGTTTTACCCTCCAACAAGTCTTT